GATGGATGTGGCTTTCAAGTCATGCGGATGTTCCTTTTCTGATGTTAATCGAGAGCAGCCAACTGCAGGGGTAGCCCCTCTTTTCTTGTCCATGAGGAGGGTGTTGACAGAAATGATCAGACCAATCACTAGATCTAAGGTGTGGCCGCTAGGATGTCACTGTGTTTCTGATCATGAAACAGATCCAGTTTTCTATAGGTATTAATATCTTTGAATGCCTACAGGTTAGAGTCTGTTAACTTGCATATCATTATCCAGTGTGAAATTGTCTTTCGAATGAATATAAATATGGGAGATATCAAATGTCTGTTCCACTTAGGAGAGGAATTGGGACAGTTCTACTCCTGGTACTTCCTATGGTAGCAGTGTTTGGGCCCAAAATGCTTCTAATTAACTGATAAAGGTAAATATGTTCTTATTCTGGCTGCACTGTTATTATTTCAGAAGTTATGGAATACATTGGCGTTTTGGGTTCTTTGCTAATATTGACCCAGACAGGGATGCATAAGAGCCAGAGAAAAGGCCTACATGCTTTTACCATATCACTTAGCCCTGGGTAAGACATTTTATGGCCCACCGTGTACTCCCAATGGGTCTAAATACCCTGAGGCTCCAAGCCTGACATGTGAAATGTGTATTTGCTGACTGCTCCAGCTAAGGGACAGTGGGTATAGAAAAGATTTACCCCCCTTTAAAATAATCACATTTTGTTGCTTTGCAGCCTGAAATGAAGACATACACATTTTTGTTTTATCCTGTATTTAAATTCAAAAACAGAATCACTGAATTGGAAAAAGGATCAATCTCTCCATAAATTAATTGTAAACTCAATCAGGTGTCGCTAATCTCAATGGCACACAAAACCATTTGACTTTCAACTGTGATCAGCTGTGGTCATTTTGATTAGCTCAGCATGAAAAGAGCTTTCCTGGAGCATTTCAGTCCCTGATAGTGCAACTGAACCAAACAATCAACTATGGGAGGTAAGGCACTGTCAAAAGATCTCTGGGATAAAGTTGTGGACAGGCACAAGTCAGCAAATGGAAACAAAAAAAATTCAAAGGCTTTATGAATGCCTAGAAGCACAGTGAAGTTTATTATCACTGTCCAAATCGTGTAGATTTCTCCTCCGCAACATCTCCAAGATACGACCGTTCCTAACCTCGGAAACCACTAAGCAACTTATTCACTCCCTTGTTATATCTCGCCTTGACTATTGTAACTCCCTCCTCATTGGCCTACCTCATCATAGGCTATCCACTCTTCAGTCAATCATGAATGCTGCTGCCAGACTCATCCACCTTTCTAACCGTTCTGTATCTGCCACCCCTCTCTGCCAATCCCTTCACTGGCTTCCCATTGCCCAACGGATAAAATTCAAAACACTAACAATAACGTATAAAGCCATTTATAACTCTGCCCCAAATTACATCACTGATCTTGTCTCTAAATATCACCCAAACCGTACTCTCTAGCTCCCTTGTCTCCTCCTCCCATGCTTGTCTCCAGGACTTCTCCAGAGCTTCCCCCATCCTCTGGAACTCTCTACCCCAATTTATCAGACTATCGCCTACTCTGCTCACTTTTAGGCGATCTCTGAAAACCTATCTCTTCAGGGAAGCCTATCCTGCCCTCAGCTAATACTGGAATCTTCTACTCTTCCAACCAGTCCATCACCCACAGTTACTACCTTTTGTACCACTAGCCCCTCCCTCCTAAATTGTAAGCTCCAAGGAGCAGGGCCCTCAAATCCCTCTTGTATTGAACTGTATTGTTCCTGTATTGTCTCCCATTATATTGTAGAGCGCTGAGCAAACTGTTGGCGCTATATAAATCCTGTATAATAATAATATTATTGGGAAGTGGAAGGTATTTGATTCATTGCAGAACGTCCTTGTATCAAGATGCTGCTCCAAACTGGATGAAAGAGCCAGGAGGAAACTAGTCAGAGAGGCTACCAAGAGGCCTACAGCAACTCTGAAGTAGGGTTGAGCTTGATGTTCAAGTCAACCCATACTTATTCACATACGAGGGGGTTCTGGGGGCCCCTTTGTTAAAAGGGGCTTCCAGATTCTGATAAGCCCCCCACCCGCATATTCCCACAACCACCGGCCACAGTTGTGGGGAAGAAGCCCTTGTCCATATCAACATGGGGACAAGGTGCTTTGGGGGGGAGCCCCCAGCCCCTTCCATGTTGACGGCATGTGGCCTGGTATGGTTCAGGAGGGGGGCCCCTCCCCCCTTTCCTGATCTGCCTGGCCGCATGCTTGGATAAGGGTCTGGTATAGATTTTGAGGGTAGACCCCCACGCCATTTTTAAAAAAAAATTGGCATGGGGGTTCTCCTCAAAATCCATGCTAGATCCAAATTTTTTAATTGCCAGCAATTCTTTTTACATTCAGCTGTCAGCGGGGAACTGACAGTTGAAACATTGCAGATTGTTTTCACTACTAAAATACCTAATGACTTAATAATTTAACTCGTGCGGTATTTTAATAGCTGTGCAATATCTTACCGCATACTCAGATGTGGTAAGATACCGTTTAGTGAATTGTCCCTGTTCAAAGCTCACGTTTGAACTTTCATTAGGTTTGAATGTTCGACCGAGCACCGAACAGGGGGGTGATCAGCCCACCACTACTCTGAAGTAGCTGCAGGAATTTATGACAAAGAGTGGTAAAATCCCGTTATGGGGGGGTTTCTCTGCAGCAGGGACTGGAGCACTTGTCAGGACAGAAGGAAAAATGGATGGGGCAAAGTATTATCAAATTCTTGAGGAAAATCTGCTGCCAGAAAGTTGTCAATGAGAAGATGGTTTATCTTCCAACATGACAATGAGCCAAAGCACAGAGCAAAAATGAGCACACAGTGGTTGAAGGAGAAAAAGGTGAATGTCCTTACATGGCCTAATCAAAGTCCAGGCTTAAACCCCATTGACAAGCTGTGGAATGACTTGAAGACTGAAGTGTACAAACTGTCACCATCAAATTTAACTGAACTTGAGCAGTAGATGTGCAAAGTTAGTAGAGACATATCCCAACAGACTAAAGGCTGTAAGTAAAGCAAAAGGTAGTTCAACAAAATACCGACACAAGGGGGTGATCCTTTTTTCAACTTAGTGATTCTGTTTTGGATCTTTTTTTTCTGACATGTTGGTGTTATATCTTTCACTTGGATGTTATAGGTTGCACTGATGAGTAAATATAGCTGAATAAAACAAAAAGTGTGTCTGTCTTCATTTCAGGCTGCAACACAACAAAATGTGATTTTTTTAAAGGGGGTTGATTCTTATACATTACTTCAGTTGCTTCCTGGTTTCTGACCTATGCCAAAATTATGCCATACATCCCAAGAGTCTTCATTATATTATTCTTTTTATCCAGAGGAGAGGAGGAGGGGGATTTCTCAGCTAAACACACCCTTTAAGTGTTACTAAACAGTAAATCAGTCTGTATATGCAGTAAAGCATGCTTGTTATACTCATTGTGGAACCTAAGGGGTTAATCCTGTTTAAAAATGCTTGATCCTGACTTCTCTTATCCTCCCCTTCTTCCAGTGTCCCCCTCTTATCTCCTGAAAAGACATGGTGTGGATACACTCTATACGTGCTCGGTTTAGTGTGTATTGCTAGAGAAGTTTTTTTTTTCTTGGGAGAGTGCATGTGATCAGGACAGGGCCAATCAGCACTGTCCAGACAGAGGTCAGGGGTCCTGCATCCTCCCAGAGCAGAAAGAAAACTGCTCCTATAAGCTTTAACCAGTTCTCTACTGAACATTGATAGAAGTCACAAGATTGCAGTTTATATTTACTAAAATAATTGCATTTCCATGTTCTGTGTACTGCGGGAGACCAGAAAGAGTGAATGTAGGGTCCTGGGTTTAGTAACACTTTAACTAAGGGCTAACTAAGGATTTCAGGAAGTAAATGCTGCATGAATCATCTGCCCTTATTCAAGGTGGCCATGGCTAGAAATGCTAGGGGATTGTTTTTCAAAGTGATTTCTCAAAAATAAAGCATGGAGACATGAAAGGATGGATGAGTTTGTGTTGAATGTTAAAAATAAATAAAATAGCATTTTCAGGTTGCAGTGCTCAGATATAGTTAAGTTCTGCTTTAAAGATCACTATATAAGTCCAAGGTTTCTGATTATCGCGAATTGTAGAATAGAACTGCAAGGTTTTCCTGAACCTTTCCCATTATTGAAATCTAATTTTCCTTAGGTCTGTTTTTATAGGTAAACAGAGAGGGGATGGTTTCTTATAAAGAGAATGATGGCCTGTTTGAAGAACACTGGTATGATACTTATGGATATTATGATATACACTATATTGCCAAAAGTATTGGTCGGCCTGCCTTTACACGCACATGAACTTTAATGGCATCCCAGTCTTAGTCCGTAGGGTTCAATATTGAGTTGGCCCGCCCTTTGCAGCTATAACAGCTTCAACTCTTCTGGGAAGGCTGTGCACAAGGTTTGGGAGGGTGTCTATGGGAATGTTTGACCATTCTTCCAGAATGACATTTGTGAGGTCAGGCACTGACGTCGGACGAGAAGGTCTGGGCTGCAGTTTCCACTCTAATTCATCCCAAAGGTGTTCTATCGGGTTCAGGTCAGGACTCTCAGGTCTTTATGGACCTTGCTTTGTGCACTGGTGTGCAGTCATGTTGGAACAGGAAGGGACCATCTCTAAACTGTTCCCGCAAAGTTGGGAGCATGAAATTGTCCAAAATGTCTTGGTATGCTGATGCCTTACGATTTCTCTTCACTGGAACTAAGGGGCCAAGCCCAAACCCTGAAAAACAACCCCACACCATAATCCCCCCTCCACCAAACTTTATACGTGGCACAATGTGGTCAGGCAAGTACCGTTCTCCTGGCAACCACCAAACCCAGACACGTCCTTTGGATTTCCAGACAGAGAAGCATGATTCGTCACTCCAGAGAACGCGTCTTCACTGCTCTAGAGTCCAATGGCAACATGCTTTGCACCACTGCATTTGATGTTTTGCTCTTTAGCTATTGACCCTGCAGACAGATGGCGACTTCTGTGCACTGTGCGCTTCAGCATGCGTTGACCCTGTTCTATCAAACTACGTGGCCTACCACTTCATGGATTGCTGTTGTTCCTAGTTGCTTCCCCTTTGTTATAATACCACTAACAGTGGACCGTGGAATATTTAGTAGCAAGGAAATTTCATGGATGGACTTATTGCACAGGTGGCAACCTATCACGGTACCCACGCTTGAATTCACTGAGCTCCTGAGAGGGACCCATTCTTTCACATATGTTTGTAGAAGCAGTCTACATGCCTAGGTGCTTGATTTTATACACCTGTGGCCATGGAGGTGATTGGAACGGCTGAATCCAATGAGTTGGAGGGCTAGCCCAATAAGTTTGGCAATATAGTGTAGTGGGTAATGGAACAGGATAGTGGAAAGTAGGGTTGCCACCTCATCCCTTTAAAACCGAACACATATTAATTACACAGGTTTTGTGGCTGAATAGGGTGGTAATTAAACTCACTTAGTGCCTTATCTGCATTAAATTAGCCTCAGAACCTGTGTAATTAGTATGTGTTTGGTTTTAAAGGGATGAGGTGGCAACCCTAGTGGACAGTAGTATATGCCCTGGTTTCCCATGTCCTTATTTCATCATTTGTTTTCATAAATTGACTGCTTCTCCCTATAGGCATTACCATTCTGTGTGTGATCATGTTTCTTTTGTAGATTTTCTTCATAGAATATATAACAGAGTGAGATGAAAAGACATCTGTGGGAAAAACGCATATCTATGAATTATCTGTATGTGAAGTAAGCTAGCTGTCAGCATTTATATAACATATCAGTTAAAGCAACATTTCACAATTTGTCCCCAGATGGTACTAGATCTGTTCAAGCCACAATTTTTAATTGGTCCAACTAATTTATGTAAGGCACATGATCACAGTTTTTATATAATTTAGACCACCATGATTTGCAAAATTTTGCTGCCTAGTGTCTGCTTGCAATGACATTAGTGGGGGGTCCCCACCATCGTGAGCATACTGACCCAGGAAGGAGCTATTCTGCTAACTGCATTAACAAGTCATAAGTGGAGAAATGCATTGTCATTCTCCTATAAAAAGCATTGGATTGCATTTATGTGTAGAGTGGGAATTGGATTTGGTGACAGTGTGGCTGCTGTAAGCAATTAGAAAACTGGAATGCTGCTGCTGTCTTGTTGTTCACTGAGTGTCTTCTATAACTTACAAGCAGTAGGGCAAAGCAAAAACAGCATTGCCATTCTGCAGCTGAGACTGCATTCTGTATGCTTGACTTCACCAGTGGCATTCTGCATCATAGACCACATGCTAGTGGCATTGAACATCTGAGGCTCCATGCCAGTGGCATTGAACATCTGAGGCTCCATGCCAATGGCACTCCTCATCTGAGACTACAGTCAACTGGTATCCCACGTCTGAGACTACATACCAATGGTATTCTGCATCTGAGACTGCAGAGCAGTGGCATTCTGCATCTGAGCCCACATGCTGGTGGCATTCTGCATCTGAGCCTACATGCTGGTGGCATTCTGCATCTCAACCTACATGCTGGTGGCATTCTGCATCTGAGTCTACATGCTGGTAGCATTCTGCATCTGAGCCTACATGCTGGTAGCATTCTGCATCTGAGCCTACATGCTGGTAGCATTCTGCATCTGAGCCTACATGCCGGTGGCATTCTGCATCTGAGACTTAATGACTGGCATTTTGCATCTAAGACTATATACTAATGGCATTCAAACAGTAAAGGGCAAGGCAAAAACAGCATTGCCATACCACATCTGAGACTGTATGCAGGTGGCATTCTAAATCCAGGATGGAATATCTGTAGCATTCTGTATGTATGACTTCACACCAGTGGCATAGATCGCATGCTGGTGGCATTCTGCATCTGAGGCTCCATGCCAGCTGCATTCTGTATATGAGAGTGTAGGCCAGTGGCATACCACATCTGAAACTACATGTCAATGGCTTCCTGCATCCAAGACTACATGCCAATGACTTTCTGCATCCTAGGCTACAGGCCTGTGGCTTTACACATCTGAGATTGCATGCTGGTGGCATTTTGCATCTGAGACTACATGCCTTTGGCATTCTGTATCTGAGACTTCAGGCCAGTGACTTTCTGCATCTGAGACTTCAGGCCAGTGACATTCTGCATCTGAGACTTCTTCAGGCCAGTGACTTTCTTCACCTGAGACTTCAGACCAGTGACATTCTGCATCTGAGACTTCAGGCCAGTGACATTCTGCATCTGAGACTTCAGGCCAGTGACTTTCGGCATCTGAGACTTGAGGCCAGTGACATTCTGCATCTGAGACTTCAGGCCAGTGACTTTCTGCATCTGAGACTTCAGGCCAGTGACATTCTGCATCTGAGACTTCAGGCCAGTGACATTCTGCATCTGAGACTTCAGGCCAGTGACTTTCTGCATCTGAGACTTCAGGCCAGTGACTTTCTGCATCTGAGACTTCAGGCCAGTGACATTCTGCATCTGAGACTTCAGGCCAGTGACTTTCTTCACCTGAGACTTCAGACCAGTGACATTCTGCATCTGAGACTTCAGGCCAGTGACTTTCTTCACCTGAGACTTCAGACCAGTGACATTCTGCATCTGAGAATTCAGGCCAGTGACATTCTGCATCTGAGACTTCAGGCCAGTGACTTTCGGCATCTGAGACTTGAGGCCAGTGACATTCTGCATCTGAGACTTCAGGCCAGTGACTTTCTGCATCTGAGACTTCAGGCCAGTGACATTCTGCATCTGAGACTTCAGGCCAGTGACATTCTGCATCTGAGACTTCAGGCCAGTGACATTCTGCATCTGAGACTACATACCAATGGTATTCTGCATCTGAGCCTACAACTTGGTGGCGCAGTGGCTAAATGGTTAGCACTTCCGCCTGGCAGTACTAGGGTCATTGTTTTGAATCCCAACCATGGCACCACCTGCCTGGAATTTGCATGTTCTTCCTGTGCCTGCATGGGTTTCCTCTGGGTACCCTGGTTTCCTCCCACACTCCAAAGACATGCTGGTAGGTTAACTGGCTCCTGTCTAAATTGGTCCTAGTATGTGTATGTATGAATGTAAGTTAGGGTCCTGAGGTTGTATGCCCCTTGAGGGTTAGGGACTTATGGGAATGTACAAGATATAAATATGTAAATTGATGGTGCTATATAAGTACCTGTAATAAATAAATAAATAATAATTCTGCATCTGAGACTACAGGCCAATGGCATTCTGCATCTAAGACTACATGATGATGGCATTCTGAATCTAAGACTACATGCTGATGGAATTTTGAATCTGAGCCTACAATTTGGTGGTATTCTGAACCTACATGACAGCGGCATTCTGCTTTTAAGACAGACTTCCTGCCAGTGGCATTCTGCATCTGAGACTACAAGCCAGTGTTATTTTTCTTCTGAGATTACATATCCATGACATTCTGCATTTGCGTACTAAACTTCTATTTTGCACTGAACATGACAATAAACCTGATGAGGAGATGGCTGTCTGAATAGGGAAATCTCACCAGGAGGAGGAGAAGGATAATGACACAGCAGAGGAGGAGAAGCGTGTAGGCAGGTTGTACACTTCACCGAATTTTCCTCTTCACTGATGGTATTGGCTTTGATGGTTTTGTCTTGTGACCATCCTCTACCACCCATAAAAACTCTCTCAAGAGAATATTGCCGACATACCCACCTCTTCAGGGAAGCCTACCCCACCCTCACCTAACTGCTGCTCTCCTTCATTCCTCCTACCACTCCATCCCCCACAGCCACTTCCTCCTGTACCACTACCCCCTCCCTCCCAGATTGTAAGCTCGAAAGAGTAGGGCCCTCTTACCCCTCGTGTGCTGTTCGTAACTGCTGTAATGTTTCATGTATTGTACCCCCCTCTATTGTACAGCGCTGAGCAAACCCTTTGGCGCTATATAAACTCAATGTAATGTAATGTAATGTAATTCAAAAAATAAAAAAATAACTCAAGGATAGAAATACCCCTTTAAAAGGAATACACTTTGCCCTTACATTGATTACATTTTTCATCCTTAAGCAGCATATCAAAGTCTAAAAAGAAAATTGGAATATAGAAAAAGAGCCTTGGCCAGCACCGTCCTACAATAAAACAATTAAAACTCCTCAAAAACTAACTTTGGTGAAATTTACTACATTTAATATGCTGTACATTGACTATGGTGGAGCAAATGCTGATCATTTTGCTTCTCTGAAATGATGTTACCTAAATCTGTTCTGAGCATCATAGGTGAAATATCTATTTTGATCCTTTTACAACACTACTAATTGCTTCTCTTGTACAATTGCCTTAGAATCCGGAAATGATGACCCATTGAGAAGAGACTGCAGAAGCACTGAATTAGGAAAATCTAATATATGTACTATACTGTATTTAGAAGCCAAGCTAAATTCCTGCTGATAATCTGATCAACTTTCTTGTTCCAATTAGCCTAAATTGGTGTGTTCTAATTATGGTCTGTATTTCGGCTATGATGTGCTTAGTGCAAAATCTGGATCAAAATCTGGAGACTGAGTACAGAGTAGGCTCAGAGAACACTATGGTGAACCGTGCTGCTGTACTATTGACATGGTACTGAGTAGAAGTTAGACTTTCAAACAGCAGCAAAAGGTATTACATTTGTCTATTGCTTAGGCTTCTCTAAGTGTGGTTGCTGTCCACATGCAGTTCAAGTCTTCATGCAGATCTGCGGAGAGCGGCAACATTTATTTATTTATTTATTTCAGGTACTTATATAGCGCCGTCAATTTACGCAGTGCTTTACATATATATATTATACATTCACATCAGTCCCTAACCCTCAAGGGGCGTACAATCTAAGGTCCCTAACTCACATTCATATACAAGGGCCAATTTAGACAGGATCCAATTAACCTACCAGCATGTCTTTGGAGTGTGGGAGGAAACCCACGCTGGCACAGGGAGAACATGCAAACTCCAGGCAGGAGGTGCCGTGGCTGGGATTTGAACCAACGACCCCAGTACTGCCAGGCAGAAATACTAACCATTTAGCCACTGTGCTACTTGAAATGCATAAGATTTAAAGCATATCTAAACGCAAAAGCAAAAATATAATAGTTACATAGTTAGTCTGGCTGAAAAAAGACAAAAGTCCATCCAGTTCAACCATAGGAAAAAAAAAAGTTATAATCCTAAACCCACAGTTGATCCAGAGAAAGGCACTCGGCTATTCCCTGGATGAACTTTACCTATAAATGTTA